GGTTCTAGTAATGTTATACACAGAGTCACACGGACAAGGATGACGCATATGTCCCCACTACTTTGACAGAATGACACAGAAGTAAAACTTTTTTCCTGTTACTAAAAATATAAGCACTCAAGGAAAATATATTGCTGATCTAGTTTGCTGAGTCAGAAGATAGAAAAGATCAGGTCAGCAAAAACAAACTAGAACACTACAGAAGAGCATTTTGTTTTATAGGATTTATTTATTTCAGAAAATTAGGCTTTATTTTAATAGATCACTCTCTTCTCTTACAACTTAATTAAACTATAATAAAACAGAAATCTTATCAGATAAAAAATTGCCCATCATGCATACAATCTTTGATTAAGACTTGGTAATGTATAATCTCAATAATTTCTAAAATGAGATATTTTAACAGATCAAAAGCACAAAAAAAGTAAAATAGGTAGGCATAAAATATATCAGAAAGGATGAAATTACCAGGCACGTCGTAAAGAAACTGATACAAATTTCAACTACTTTTCCCAAAATAGTGTCTGTTATTCTGAATGTCACCGTCATGATTAATTTCTAAATCTTTTTGAAATCTTAATGAAAACTGTATTGTAAGGAAGCTACAAACTTTTGCTTCCTTCTTTTTGCTTTTAGAACCATTTTAGAAAAAAAGCTGCTTATTTTGCCATTTTTTTCCTGTTCAATATTCCTCCATTTGCACTAAAATTGCAAATACATGTGTTTCTCTTAATTTTTAGTTATGGACATTTTTATGTAAATACACGTGGCTATATTCACTGATCTTTGGTGGTTTCTATATTTAAATTTGAACTAGAAACCCCTTTGCCACTCCAAGGTAAGTCGGTTTCATGGATTTTCTTTTAGAGCTTTTATGACTACATTTTAAAATCCTTGATAACTATCTTAGGATGAATGTCAAGGACAGACCCAGGCCCGACTTTCTCCCTGGAAGATCATCCACATGTCTGATCACACTTACAAGCTGTTTGCCACCTCTGATCTGACATGCAATCTTCAGACTAATTCTTGTATTTGGATCAATTCTTGTCATTTCATTTAACTTTTTTGATTAACTTATTTATTCATGCACTAAATTTGATGTAATTAATAGGCTTTATAATATGTTCCTACATCTTGTAAAACCAATTCCCTCTTGTCATTTTGTCTAACCAACTTTTCTTAGATGTTTGGGGTTTTTATATGTACATATTAACTTCAAATATTCCCTAATTTAAAAAAGCAGTGGCATTTGTTAGAAAATCATACTAGACTTACAAAGAGCTAGGGGAAGAGATGCTTTCTCTCTTTGGGTTCCAGTTGTGGCCGGGAGAGCAGCATGTGGACCTTAGGTTCTTGTCTTTCTTGGTTTCTCACATAAGTGATTTCTCCCCCAATAAAAACATCCCTATTTTGTTTCGCTTAATATTTCCCCATTAAATCTTGTACATTTATAAGTTAATCTTTAAATACTTTCTTTTGTTAACTTAAGATCTTTTAAAAATCTATTTGGTGGGCCAAGCATGAGACCCAAGTTCCATCCCCAGCACCTGTGTAAATAGCTGAGAGCCCTTGTAATCCCCATGCTGGGGACTCGAGAAGGGAGGGTCACGGGAGGGTCACTGAGCTTCGATGGCCTGCAAATATAGCAATCTGTGAACTCCAGTTTTAATAAGAGATGGTCTCAAAAATAAGGTCAAGAGTGATAGAGGACACCTGATGGCAACATCTAGTCCCCTCACAACGTGTTCATGCACACATGTATGCATGTTCACTCACACATGTACACACGCATATGAATACACACACTGGCACTCATGCACCAACTACCTTGTAAATGACAAAAAGGCTTTAACTAGTATCGCCTAAAAAATAATATCCTATTCCAAGCTCTATAAACAAATAGATGTCTTAAGTGAGAAAAGTTACTAGCAAGCCAACAGATGGCAGCACGCACGCATGCACGCGCACACACTTTTGTTGTAAACTGCACATTTGCAATATGTTGATTTACAACAATTGCATCATAACACCTCAGCACACACAGACTCTCCTTATCATAAACCACTAGAATTTTTC